GGAGGCTGGGGGTGGCGGTGGGGAGAGGCTAAGGAAATAGCCTGACCTCAAAGTCTGCTCATCCCACCATCCTACTGTGAACCCAAGCACTGCTCTGGTCCTGGGGACACTGCAGGGATAGTGACAGGACAGCCCGTGCCCCTGCTCTTGAGGCATATAACATAAGGGGGTGACTTTTAGGGACACGAGTGGTGAACTGTACAGATATCTGGGGATGAGCCTTCCGGGCGGTAGAAAAAGCAAGCCAGAGTTTGGTGGGACCAGGCTTGCTGGGTTCAAGGACTTCAAAGAGTTAAGCATGGCAGGTGAGCAAAGGAGCCAAGAGGGGGTGCAGTGACAGAGGGAAGGAGGGCTGCATTGTGGCGGGGGGGACTTCAGCCACTGAAATGACCTTGGTATTCACTCAGAGTGACACAGGAAACCTCAATGGGTTGTGAGCAGAAGGTGCACGTGATCTGGTTGTCTGTGGAGACCAGAGATGAGACTACTGCAATAGTCCAAGCAGTGGATGGAGGAGGGCAGAGTGGTGGAGACGTTGAGAAGGTGTCAGAATGCAGATATGCCTTTGAAGGTAAGCCCATAAGATCTGCTGATGGACCAGATACAGGGGTATCACAGAAAGCATGCAGTCAAGGATGACCCAAGGTTTTTGCCTCTATCCTTGGAGGGAACGAATGGAGATATCACTTATTGAGATGGGGACACAGATGGGGGAAGACTTTGGCAGCTGGAAAAATTCATGGATGTAGCACCCAAGGCTGATTCCAACTAGAAAACATAAAAGACAGCAGAGGGGGACTCAGCTTCCCACCCCACCCCCGGCCGTGGAGGAGGCCACCAGGCCCATCACTGCACATGGTGGCCCAGCAAACGAACCCAGCGGGGCCTTCCCTGGTGGACCAGAGACACCCAGTAACTTGGAAATACGCGCCCAGGGACCTGGACTGTGCTTCCTAATCCATGCAAACACAGAGGGCCACGCATGCCAGGCTCTGTTCTAGGCTGTGGATATAAGAGCGCCCGTCCTCCTGGGGTTTGCCTCAGGATTTTTTCACACACACACACAAACACACACACACACACACACACACACCAGCAAGATAACTTGGGCAAATTACTCTCTTAAACTTCTGTTCCCCTAACTGTGGATGATGACAGTGAGATGTGTGTCCCAGAATTCTCCCAGGACTAAACGAGATGATCAACATTTACAAAGATGCCTAGCGCACAATCATCCTCGATTATACTCCTGAGTGCATTCGGTCTAACACCTCTTGTCCAACCCCACCCACTGGGGGAAAGGAGAGGAAATGAGTCTCATTCTCCCCCAAGGCCTCTCCCACCGACCTCCATCTCCAGGGCCCCTCCACTGTGTGCCTCCTGCATTCTGCATCTAACTCATTTGGCCATTCTCTGGGGAAAGCTATGGATTCGTTACTAATCTTTAACTAAACACACAATACGTGAATACATTCTCCTTATTTACAAAGAAAAAGTATGAGCCTTACAGATAATGCATAAATATTCCCCCTGCCACACCCCCAGTCCCCTGAGAGTAACCGCTTTTGTCAGTCTGGTGCACACCCTTCCACACCTTTTTCTGTGCTTTTTTACATGCACTGATAGAAACCCAGTGAAAAGACAGAGTATTGTTTTGTGGAGGGTTTTGGGGTTTTTTTTGTTTTTTTTTTTAACATGAGTAGCCTCAAAGCTTTTTTTCAATTAGTAATGTGTTTTTTCTATTTTTCTGTGCCCAAACATAAATATCTAGCTCCTTCTCTCTAACTTTTACCTAGAAATCCACTGGATGAAGGACTCCTGCTTTACTTCCTATGCCCCTATTGAAACATAGACCAGATTTGGCAGTCAGGATTCCTGCCCGAAACTGCCACGAGCTGTGTAAACCGGGTACATCCAGAGCAGTTTCACACACAGGTCACTGCCTTTGTACTTTATCATCTTGCCCGGAAACAAACTAAATCCAACCCCTGCCTCAGAGCTGAAGACACATGCCCTGGCTCAGAGGTGAAGTAACTGGCCTGAGGTCCCCAGCCAGCAAATGGCACAGCCAGATCCGCAAACCCTGAGCTCTGGAAAGTGACATCGGTTTCAAAACGAGCCACACCCCTATGCAACCCCATCAGTAACCTGAGAAATGTAAATCACACACATCAGATTACCCCCCCCCAAAATTATAATAAGAAATCGGTAATCCCAATAATGGCACAGATGTGAGGGAGTGACTAGTTCCATACTCTGTGGATGGGACTATAAATGCCCTCAGTCTTCATAAGGGCCATTAGTCTGTGTCCAAATGCAAACTGTACATACCATCTGGACTAGAGGCTTCTCTTCTAGAAATGTACCCGGTGGAAATGTTCGTCCAGGTACACAGAGAGGTATGTATGAGAAAATTATCAGTCAACGGACAAACAGGTAAGGAATTAAGTGTACAGCCATTCAAAGGAATACTATGCAGCAGTGAAAAGTGTGACCGATTTATATGTTTTGACATGGAAAAATTCCCAAGCAATATCTGTGAATTGAAAAGCAAACTGCAGGCTATTTCAATGTAGTTTAGTTCAATATATGTAAATATATATATATATATATATATATATATATATTAATGTGTCTAAATCCATGCTCGTGATGTGTATCTCCATAAAAATCTAGAAAGATACTCTTGGATGATGGTGGTACTATCCCAGGAGGGGAATAAAACGGGGGGAACCTTTTTTTCCCTCCACTTGAATTTTTTTTTTTTTTTACAAACAAGAATCCATGTATTTTATATACACGGACTTCTTTAACCCCAAAGCATAAAAAAATAAAGTAGAAATCAAAGCACAAGCTTCCCATTCAAGTTGCACGTGGACACGTGCAGCCAAAGAAAACACCAGCGGGCCGTCCCTCCCTCTCCTAGCATCCCACCCACTCGGTCCCCTGAACACAGATGCCCTTCTTCCAAGGGAAGGCTCTTGGCCAGGGCTCAGCCTGAGCTGTCCAAGAAGAAACTGTCACAGGCTGGACTCGCCTCCGTGCCTTCACGCCAGTCAGCCACAAACCAATCACCTTTGGGATATTCACAGAGGACGCTGGCTGGCTCTCACTCAAGTTTAAGCCCAGAAATCTTAGTTCCGGGACAACTGAGGACAGTGGCGCTTTCCTCTTTGGAAGCCCTGAGGAGGAGTGGGAAATTAGGTAGGGCATGCGGGTGTGCATGTAAACACACACACACACACACACACACACACACACACACACACACAGACATCCTTCATCTGATTGAGAGCCGTGAAAAGAAAACACCTGAATTAAGTCCAAGAAGGACTGGGCTGACAAGATTCTGCATCAGCTATAAATCCCACCCATCCCCACACCCCCAAAGCAACAGGCTCTCTGCACGGGATCACGACGGGCTTGCCACGCTTACAGCACCCAAGTGATGGTCTCTCCAGGGCTCACACAGTACAGAAACCACAAATTTGGCGGGCGTTTACGGCCGGCTTTCACTGAGATAAAGCTTTCATAGCTACTTTGAAAAACAAAACAGATACACCCGTTGGCCACCACGGGAGAGAAAGAAGCTGTTCTGGCCGCTCTCAGGTTTCCCCAAGAAACTTTTTCCCGCCACTTTACAGGCAAGAAAAAAAAAACCACTAAGAGGAACTCAATGTCACCATAGGCCAGGATCTCCTTGCAATCAGATTACAGGATTTAATGGGACAAGATTTGACAACAAAACAAAGGACACAGTGTAGCCAAGATGACTCAGACAACTGCTCACCCAGAGACCTCGAGAAAAACCAAACGTTACTCCATCTTTAAAGCCAAAAAATGGCAGCCAGGTCCAAGCAGATGCAGCCTTCATTCATTCGCTCATTCATTCATCTCCCAAGCATCCTGCGGCTGGGCATGGGGCACAGACACGAAATGGAGACAAGTCCCCATTCTCAAGAAACTCGCCTAAAGAAGCCGGTTAAGGGGAAAAGAGAAATCAACTAGCAAGTGATGACAGCCACATCTTTATGCGTCTGGCTGGATCTTGGGCCAAGATGAGCCTCAGTCTCCCCTCCCGGCCCTGCAGGTGCTGGCCTTTCCTTCAAAGAGCTGAATGCTTTTACCTCAAGTGTGATACTCTGCAATCTCCCTGTCCTTCAGTAACTCCAGGCTCATTCAAAAATGCCGCCAGACACCCAGGGCAGAGTCTGACGGTCTGAAGGCCAGCTGACAGCCTTAATTTGTCTCCCTGGTTGAAAGGGCAGTGGTGTATAAGGTTAGGATCGCAAGAAAGCTCTCAGGCTGTGGACTCCCCAAGGACCCTGCTTATGCAGCCTTGGGCTTATGCCTGCCTCTGTGCGGATCTGGGGAGAAAAGCGGCTTATCACTGCCAATCTGCATCAGGAAGGCAGCGTCCGGGAAGGACAGAGCAGCCCATTCCGCCTCTGAGAAGGGGTTTGTATGGGGAGGCTCTGGACGGCAGAGGCCGCTCTCCTGAGCACCCACCGGCCTGGGCACCCATGTGAGTCTCACATGCACGTGCATGGAGGGTTCCTGTCCTCCTGTGCTCACAGGAAACAAGCAAAGTGCAGCCCTAGTTTTACCACAGGCTGCCATAGAAGAGGCAAGAAGCATGTGAGCCCGCTGCTGGGCTCCTCCAGGCAGTACCAGAAACGTGGCCACACTCCAGGTCCGCCTTGGACCCCAGACCCTTAAGGTGAGGTCAGGCTCCCAGGTGGTCTCTAATTCAGGCTACCCCAACCAGGGCCTGCGCCTCCAGCAAAAGCCCTGGATGCCCTCCTTGGCCCCCAAACTCAGCCTGCGTCCTGGGTCAGGGAGGTTCCTGAGAAGGTGGCCAGCTGCCCCTCCTCATGCCCTCTGGTCTCTCCGGTGCTCCGGGGCCCCGGCCCAGGACACCCGGCCCTCCTCGGCGCCCAGCGCCCTCCAGCCCCGGAGGGGCCCGCGTGCACTGATCTCCGGCAGGGCCCCTCACCCACCTTGAGGACCTGCTGCTTGATGATCGAGGGCACCATCACGATCATGATAACGCCCAGCACTGCGCACAGCAGCCCGGCGAAGCCCAGCGCCGCGGCCACCCGGCGCGCTCGAGAGCGGCTGCCCATGTCGGCGCGCCCCGGCGCCCGCGCGGTGCTCGCGGAGCTCCGCGCCTGTGGAGGGACCGAGGCGGGGACGGAGTTGACGGAGGCAGCGACTCCGCGGACGCGGGCTGCAGCGGCACGGCTGGCCCCGGACCGCAGCGCACGGAGGAGCGGCCCGCCAGGTGGCCAGCGGTTTTATGTGCCATCGCCG